CTGAGTCCTACATGTGCCGGGCATTCTCCCAGGCCCTGAGGATATAGTGATATTAAAAAAAAAAAACCAAAAAACCAACCTCTCAGCTGTCATGGGTTTACAGTCTTGGTGGGGTGGACAGATAGTATGTAAATAAACATAGAGTATGTCAGGTGGTGATAAGTGCTATGAGGAAAAGGAGGAAGAGTGTATAGAGAGCAGTGGGGGAGGGGATGAGTGGCGTGGTCACAGGAGGGCCTCTCCGAGGAGGTGATAGTGGAGCAGAGGAGACTTGTGAATACCAGGGGAAGAGCTTTCCAGGCAGACGGGGCAGCAAGACCAAAGGTTCTGCGGTAGAGCAGAATATTCGAAAAATACCAAGAGGTCAGTGGCCACTTTGCCATCAGAGAGGGTCACAGGTGCACCCCAGGGGCTGGAGGCGGCAGAACTCTCTCTGAAAAGAGCCCATCTGCATTCCAAACAAGGAGAGAGACCCTCTTGTCCATAAGGACTAAGTCGTTTTTTTTCTTTCTGGTGACACCGAGGAGAGGCAACCCAGAAACCTTTTTACTCACCGTGGTAAATTAATGGCCCCATTTTGACTGCCTCATCGAATGGGAGCAACAAGTTCACAGTTGAGCGTGAAAAGTTTAGTGTGAATAGGAAGGGGCATTTTACGATGAGGCTCTCATTTTTTCCCCTTTAAGCCACAGAAAACAAACACTATAACTAATGACTGTCTGATGGGGTTTCGCTGGGAGCTTGTGCATAAGGCTGGGATGTCAGGCAGAACAGCTCAGACAAGACCTCAGAGGGCACAAATGTGAGATTGAGTGGAACCCGAGGCAGAGTCAAGCTGGTTCAAAAGTGAGAACAAAGCCTGGGCCTCTGCTTCTCCCATGGCCTCAGTGGGAGAGCCTGGGTGGACCCAATTCCCCCAGATCTGGTCACTGGTTCAGGGAAGGAGAGCCTGAAGGGACTGCCTGCCGGTCTCTAGGTCACTGTGAAGTTCAGTGCATCACTGTGTAAATTTTCTAGGGCTCAGAGTTTTAAAAAATCGCCAGCCTATGTCAGTTTGGGGGCCTCTGTGGCATCCTAATAGAGCTTAGCACTCAAATAGTTCAGGCATACACAGTCTCTGTTCCAGGTCTCTGAGATCAAAATCCAGTTCCACAGAATATTGAATATTTGACTGGACTGTCATCAAGAGTTCCCCACTGGTGGCATTTTCTTCCGATCCTGTTTCAGAGACTAGCTCGCTGTGCGTCATCTCTTTATTCACTGACAGGCGACAGCTATCTCCCAAGCTAGGGGTGATGTGTTAGGGCTCACAACACAAAGCTGAACGGGACACAGCATAGCAAGGCAGAAAAAGCAAAACTGGGTTTGAATTATGACTCTGCCATTTGCTAGCTGCCTGGCCTTGGGCAAGACCTCTTTCCTTTCAAATTTCAGTCTTCTTATCTGTGAAATGGGAACACCTTTAATCTACTGAAGGCACTTGGTACACAGTAGGTGCTCCAGAATGAGTGGATGTATTTTCACCCCAAGCCACAACAGGCTGGACAAAGGTAAGTTGCTGTGAACATCCTGGGTGATGAGGATACAGGCAGGGATTATAGGGAGATGTCTTGTCCCCCATGGTGGTACCCATCTAGGTGGTATCCTTTGTGACTTTCTGCACCTCCAATTGTGATTAGAGGAGAGCCTCCACGATGCATCCTACAGGGCAAGCAACTGATCCCCAGAGCTGCAAGGAACATAGCCCTCACTGCACCTGTAACATGTGGAAACATCTGCCAGACTGCTCCCCGAGGGAGGGCAGTCTAGAGGTGAGGCATGGAAGCTCCACCTTGAGAACGGCACTCAGTCCCAACTCCTGCAGCTCGTGGGTGCGGTGGATCTTAGACAAGTCGTTCATCCTCCTCTTGCGTTCATTCCTGCCAGTGCGGACAACAGTGGTTACACTGGAAATAGCATGCGCATTTGTCATAGTTCCCTGGTTCCGTAACATCAGCCGCTGCGGATCACTACTGACCGCTGAGAAGGCCATGGGTAGGGGCTCTGCCCTTGACCCTGCACAGCCTGATTCCAGAAGAGCAGGGATGTCTGGGAACAGACTCGCTCTAGCTCACCTTTGCAGAAAAACAGTAGTTTCTACAAGCCATATTGATAGAGTAATCTTTGAATATGAAGAACAGCTCTCTATGTACACAGAGAGAGCAAGGCTCGTATTGATTCAGACCACAGGGCAAGCCACTCTAAATTACAGTCAGATCAGAAAAGCCGGCAATTTTATTACCTCTGGTTGCCAAGGTAGCTTATCAATGTGCTTGTGCACACACCTTCCATGGGGCTGATTTAATGAATGTACAAAACCCCTTTGTAATTAGCAGCACCCATTTGTGTGTCGACAATTCATATGTGAAAGTCAACATTCAATGAGAATGACAGTGTCTAATTTACAGAGCAAATTGTCCTCAAGAACAATTTATTCGTCTGGCTGCTGCTGCAACCTGACTGCTTTGGTGAAATACAGATTTATTTAGCAAATCCTTCCTTTGAAGAGTGCCAGAATTAAGCAGGGCCCCAGCCCAGGTGCTAGACTCTAAGAGGGACCCTTAAGGTTATCCCAGGACAAACCTCTGAGATCCCAGCGGAGAGTTGGTAAGGAAGCTCTTCCCAGGTTATGCCCACGCAGACATGACCCAATCCTGTTGACAGATTTTGCATTTCCAGGGTCATGGGCATGTCTTAGAAATTTGGAAGGCCCCAAACAGTGTGGTATTTCTTCTTAGAGCAATGTTTCCCCCCGAGATGCTGCTTGGACCCTCTATATCCAAAATCCCTGGGGAGCTGTTAAAGTGCAGACATTTTCTTATCCCTTTCCAACTATTGAAGATATTTCAAAATATCATTCACACATATCACTACCTCCAAATAATGGGGTCATCAAAGCTGCTGCTAGATCCTGTTATAGAATGTGCTGCTAAAAAGTATAGAATGACTACATCACAATTTTGATAAAAAATATTTCAGTAACTGAATTTTAATATAATTGGTTTCCTTTGTAAATGTATGCACTTATTTCATGCATTTAAAAATATTATTCTCAGGCAGGGTCCACAGGCTTCACCAGACTGTCAAAGGGGTCCATGGCACCCAAAAGTTTAAGAACAATTATATAGCTGACAGGAAGCTGGAAGACCCTGTGATGGGCAGCATCTTGTGACTTCTGGGTTTGATGAGGATGGATGTGCAATTTCTAAGTTCAGGTGCCAGAAAGTAGCTCCCTAATGACCACAGGGCCCCCCCACAGCTTGAATCAGCTATGACTTCCTTTTGTGCTAAATAGAGGATGACGTCCTGCGTGTATAGGGACTTCCTTTGGGAAGAGGCGCAAGTTGCCTTCTGGACCCTGACTCCTTTTTATGGTTCAAAATTTTCTAGGATGTCACAGCAACTCATACTTCAACATAATCCATCATTTCTGAGATCAGTGCTCAGGTCCCATCAGGAACACCCATCAAGCAATTTGACAATCAACTGAATCATAAGTAAATACAGTTTTATTTTCTTCTGATTGGCCAGACTCCAAGGGCACAGCCCTGAATTAGAGGGTGCATAAGCATGGCACATCACTGCTCAAACTCGAGACACCCAGCCTTCTTGACAATTCCTCCCTTGTCTCCACCTTTCTGCTCCTTTCTCTCTTCCTCTCTCTCCCTGTCCTTCCCCCTTCTCTTCACATTTCCTGAGGACATACCATGTGCCAGGCAGCGTTCTTGGCATTAGGGTTACATCAATGAACAAAGCAAATTATCTCTACTCTCTGTGAGAATACGTTCTAGTAGGGAGAGATTAACAATTAAAAAAAAAGAAAAGAGTAAAATACAGAGTGTGGCTAGGTGGAGGGGGGAAGGGTAATGACCGCTAACAGCTACCACGTTTCTTGTTGGGGTGATGACAATTGGTGTTCCAAAACTGATGGTGGTTGATGGCACACCCTAGTAAATAACTGAAAACCGCTGAACTGTACACTTTAAGGAGATAAACTGTCTATAAATTATATCTCTGTGAAACTTTTATTAAAAAACAAAAAAAATTAGGGGGAGAAAGGTCTTTGGGGTATTATAATTTTTTTTAAGATTTATTTATTTGGCGGGGAGGGGCAGAGGGAGAGAATCTCAAGCAGATTCCCCGCTAAGAGCAGAGCCTGATGCAGGGCTCGATCTTATGATCCATGAGATCATGATCTGAGCTGAAACCAAGAGTCAGATGCTTAACCAAGGGAACCACCCAGGTACCCCTAAAGGGTATTATAATTTTAGGTGAGACTAGAAGGTAATGAGGGAGTCAGTCATGTGGCTGTCTGGAGGAAGAGTGGTTGAGGAAGAGGGAATAGTAAGTGCAAAGGTCCTGAGGCATGCCTGCTATAGTCAAGGAAAAACAAGGGGCCAGAGTGGCTGGAGTTCAGGGGGTCTTGGGGGACAGTGGAAGAATAAGAGGGATATGTGGAGTGGCCTGCAAGCAATTCTGAGGACTTTAGCTTTTCCTATGGGTCAGATGGAAAGCCACTGGAGGATTCTGAACAGAGGAAAGATGTGATCTGACATATACTTTAAATGGATCTCATCGGAAATCAACCATGAACAGCCACCATTTATAGAGCATTTACCGTGTGCCAGCCACTGTGGCAAACTCTCTTTATGGGCCTTAGCTCGTTGAATCACCACAACCATACTTTAAGTCAGGTACTATTATTTTCTCTATTTTATAGAAAAGGAAACTGAGGCTCAGAAAATGTTAAGAACTTGACCTACAACAGTGACAGTGGCAGGAAATTTGACCAGGCCTGCCTGACTCCAGAGCCCTTGCCCTCCCTATGGCTACCATGGCAGTGTTCTGTGCACACGGCAGGTGCTCAATAAAAGCTGTCACCTGGCTGGTGACAAAGCACAGTCCTGAGGGGAGTTGCACCTTGGGCACAGAGAGGGGCCAGAGAACCAGTGTCCACTTACTCAGTTCTGCAATGCTGCCCACGCGGGTGGCCAGCAAGGACTGCTCGATGGTCCTCAACTCCGACTGGCTGAACATGGGCAGGTCCCCCGGCTTGTTTGACCGCTGCGGGTCCCTGTGAAGGTTCAGGCTGTCTGGTAGGCACAGCACTCCTGCAGTTGGCGGGCAGAGACAATGAAAGAAAACAGATTGTTATTTTTCAGGTATCCAAAGGAGGGGCGCAAAACCTTGCACCACCTCAAACCATACCAGGGTTGGTAAGCCAACATGGCGACCAGGGCTCTGAACTCCTTTTAGAAGCGAGGGCTAGCTCTTTTGAAAGGTTTCCTCAAGATCCTGACCTGCTGATTTTAACAAACATGTGGGCATTCATCTGCATGCACACAATGCCAAAGGACACAAACTAGAACCCTTTCTTCGAGCCTGGCTTCTATCCCATCAGAGATGCCTCTCGAGCAGCCAGTGGTCATTGTCCCATTCTCCCTCCCAGAGGCAACTGCCACCCCCGAGTGTCCCTGAGCAGAGGGGGAGTCTCTGCTGGCCGTTGTCACTTCTGAGGGCTTGCTTTATTTGCCCCACAGACTTAACTCTGGGTGGTTGGGCTGTTATTTGTTAGACAAAACTCTAGCTTTCTCTGTGGTAGAAGAGTCCCCGCGGACTTTTGCAACTTTATGGCGAAAACCTATGGGAAACCTCTGGCATCTAATTATTTCTTCCCTTCCTTGCCATCCCATGAACATTTAGCAAGAGCCTGAGAACTTACTTGGGTAGGTTATTGAGAAATATTCACTTTTTCCTTCACCACCCAAACCTCCCTAGGCAGAGCCTGCTTTCTTGCTCCTTGACTTTGGGCTTGACTGATTGACTTAACTTTGGCCAAAAGTATATTAATGCACATGACAGAACCGAAGGCCCGAGAAGCATTTGTACGGCTGAACTTGCTCTCTTGTACCTCTGCTATCATCACAAGAGGAACATTCCCTGGCTGGCCTGCTCGTTGAAGGAGGGTGAGGAGACACACGGAGCCGCTCCAGTACCAACCTGTAGCTTAGAGCTGCTTCCACACTAACAAACACCGATTTGGTGGGTCTTTGAGATAGCGGAGGTAATGGGCACTCAGCATTGCTATGTGATAACTGACAGATACAACTAGCAAGTATAGATCACCGAGGACACAGTGAACAAGGCAGGTGGGCACTGTGCTGTGCTAGGGGCTGAGGATACAGTGATGGGTAGGATACCCACACTCCTGGGGCACATGAGTGGCTCAGTTGGTGGAGCGTCCGACTCTTGGTGTTGGCTCAGGTCGTGATCTCACGGTCATGGGATCGAGCCCCACGTCAGGCTCTGCGCTGGGTGTGGCATCTCCTTGGGATTCTCTCCCCCTGCCCTTACCCCCGACTCACACTCAAGTCTCTCTCTAGAATAAATAAATACATCTTAAAAAAAAAAAAAGAAGAATACATACACTCCCTGTCCTCAGTGGGCTCACAGTCTAAGCAAAGGAGAAGACTGTTACCACACACAACCATGAAGCCATATGGTACGTGCTCCCCAGTACGAGAAGGGACCTGAGCAATGAATACAACACACAGGAAGCATTTATTGAGTGCCTACTCTGTTCCCAACTGTGCAAGGCATTCTGGAGATGCAAAAGCAGCAGAAGATATACTCGAGTCGTGCATAAACTAACCAAGGAGACAAGACTGCCAATGACCAAAGAAACCCATGGGAACAATACGACCGTATCAATATACAGGCGCCGAGTGACTTAAGCCAACTGGTAGGGTGAGTGGAGACAGACAGACTGCAGAGGTCAGCAGTTCAAGGCCACTGCTCACCCTGCTTGAACCACAAAAGCTCAGCAAAGGTTCCTGCTTTGAAGATGGGCAGGCATGAGGCAGCACCAGTCACACACACCTCTTTTGGCCCCTGCTGCCCAATTAGTGACTCTGGTCACACTGAGCCAGTCACTTGCTCCTGGATGTTTCCCACTCACACCGAACAAGATGACGCAGTGGACAAGGCAACTCTCGTAGATGATTTGTGGACGAATACTGAATACATAGATAAACAATGCAAGCAAATGACCACTAGATTCTCATGTTCCTATAATCAGGAAACTGGCCGAATAAGTGTCTTTCTAAGATTGTTCTCTACTATTTTTCAAACACTTTGTGAGTCAGAATAAAAATGTATTTTATATCACAGCCCAGTGTACACACACACACCATCACCACCACCGCACATTTTTTCACGTTTTCCATGAAAAAAAATTTCACGTAAAATAATAATGATCCTTACGATGTATGATGCACTCTCATTCTTTTTCCTTTTCGCTTCTCTTCTAGCTCATTAATAAAAATGCTGGTCTGCTGCACCAAAAGTGATTTCATGACCCACTCACGGGTCATGACGAGCAGTTTGAAAAACAGTGTGGATGACACTAGTACACGACTTGGCATTAATTGGACAATACACGCTCACCATTCACTGGACACTACCTAGCACTGTGTGAGGCTCCGCCGCGGATGAAGAGATGATTGAGAGGTGATCCCTGCATTTCAGAAACCCTCAGCCTGGCAGGGAAGACAAGACCTTGATAGAAATACCCAACATCCAAGGCGGGCCTCCTGCCTGCCTCCTTTGCCTCAATAGATGAGTCATCCTTCCTTTCACCCCAGGCAGGGACACCCTGAGTCATCCTTGCTTCTTCCTGCTTGCTCACCTGCTGAGACAGTTGGTCAGAGGCCAAGTCAAGAAGCTGTTGTCATGGCAACGAATGTTGGTCCAATCCCTCACCGGATGCCCCCGATGTCCCTGACTCTTATTCAGAAATTTACTACCGGTGGAGGGCTCACTGCAGATGACACCGGATGATCATGATTCAGTGTGATAAGTGGCCCCAGGTTCCAGAGTATGAGGTCCTCTGCTGGGAAAACGGGGTGGTGGTCAGGGGGCTTCACAGCCAAGGAGGCCCACAAATGAGCCCTGTTTGTCAGGGAGGACAAAAGTTTCCTAATTCATCGTACAAGTGATCCTTACATGTACTCACAGGCTTGTTTTCTTGGTATTTGCATTACATACAGCAAGTTCTAATCTCAAGCAGACGTGTGAAACATTGCTTCACACATCGGTTGAGGTCCAAGCACGTGGGCTGGTCTGGAATCCAGAGCTTTGGTCCTGGCTCTGCCACTACCCACCCATGTTTCACCTGGGGCAGGTCACAGGGCCTCCCTGGACCTCAGTTTCCTCTTCCATGACATGGAGGTCATAATAATGGCCTTGTCTCCCTCAAGGGCTTGCTGGGCGTGAGCAATGAAACGGGATCATGTGTACTAAAGTATTTTGCATGTGCTGGGCAAATAATAGAGGCTCAACATACGTTAATGGAGATGAAAATCAGTTAATGTGTACAAACCCAGCTTTTGACTACTTTATACTTTATCATAAGTATACTATATTTTTATTTATACTATATCATATTTATACTATATCATATTCATAAGAATAAATAATTTCCCTTGGAACTTTTCCTCCTTCTTTTAGAGGGTTATGGAATTCAAATGAAAATGTAATTATCCAAAGAAGCTTTGAAAGCTCGATTACTGAGATTTGGAAAATCTATAATTGGTCTATTATGCAAAGATTATATATCAGAGTTTTCTTTCTTTGTTTCTTTTTGAGAACTCTGTATGGGATATACACATAAATTGGAGTTCTTTATTTTTTTGTATAAAAATCCACTAGGTCAATAAGAAGGTCCCAGCATCATCTTTTAGTGTCGGACGCAGGCCTGAGCTTTGGACTACTCATCGATTTCCATTACTAGAGCCAAAGACAGCCACAGCCTGGTGATTAAGACTCCAGTTCAAAGACAAGGAGAACCAAGGTTTAAATATGATTTCTTTGGACCTAGACAGAATAATCTCCCTGGGGAGCAGGTGACCATAAGCCACCGTCAACCATGAGCGTGAAGGGGTCATGGTCTCCCTGAAATTCTCTTTGGAGTGGGTTGTGCATTTGTCTAAGGGGGAAGTTAATTTACATTCTCAAAGGGGTCCCTGGGTCCTAAAAGATGATGAATTAATGCCTTTGAGTGTCCATACTCCCAGGCCTCTCTGCTCGGGGGCTGGCTGTAGGTGGGGCAGCATGGGCTTGGCAGAACGATGGACTCCAATCCTCTGGCAGCCCCCATGCAACCTGGGCAAAGAACTTTCCAGATCCCCAGCTTCCAGGTCTGTAAAGAGGGGTTAAAATATCTCCTTCATTGGTTTATTGTGGTGATTACATAATATAATACAGACACTTAAAGCCTCTGGCCTATAGTAAGCGCCTGTTAACTACCCTGTTGCCACAAATGTACAGTTTTGTTTATTTAATGTCTGGATTCAAACAGTCTTGAGGATCATCTTTCCAAAATCTTGTGGGACTGGAGACAGACAACCTTTTGGTTAGGTTGCTTAGAATATAAAATATGAGAACTGCTCCTCTGGGCCAACCACATGGGCATTCCGTCTCCGATGGGGATGATCCGGGCTGCACTTTGGCCTCCCTCTATGTCTCCTTCCTGTACGCACTGGACAGCCCCTTGGCAAATATAATGCCCAGACATCCCTTCTCTCCTCTGAGCTTTTCTATGAGTTTCCATTCTATTACTGGACCTGGATGCTATTTACCCACCAAGAGAAACCCAAATAAGACAGCCACCAGCCTTCAGCTGTTCTCCCCTCACTGATGATGGTGATGACAGCGATGGAGGAGAACAAGGAGACAATGCTTGTCTTCATGTCTTGGCACCCAGGACACAGACTTGGGTTCTGCCTTGCCTGTCTGGCTGCAAGAGGAGAGAACAAATTCTCCAAGCCTTGCCTGCCAAGCTAGGCCTTGTTCATTGCTCAGTTATCCCCAGAATTTAAAGTAGAGGGTCTAGGCACCAGTACTATAGCTTTAAGAAACGGGAAGGAAGCATCTGGCGTTCAGTAGACCTACCCTTGAACGTGCACCAGAGAGATCTGGCTGGGTTCAGATTTTAGTGCTGCTGTACCCCAGCTGTGTGGTGCAGAGCTTGTGACTTGGCTCTCTTGAGCCTCCGTTTCTCTCTTTGTAGGACGTCTGACACTATCTACCTCCTAGCATGGTGGGGAAGCCATAATGGGATAATATGTATGGGCAGCCTGGCACAGAAAAGGGGGTCGATAAATGTTTGCTAATAATCCGAGTGGAGTTCTTCAAAGCTAAAGATTTAGGAATTCAATAATATGACGCC